GTCTCTCAGAAAAGCCACTCTTTGAGAGTGGAAGTTAAATGTCAGAATGTTGTATACTTATCTCTTAACCATACATGATTTAGTGGATACGTGTTGGTTTGTGCCCTCCAACTTGAATCACAAACGCGCTCGACAGCGACAAGGATCTAATCAATTGACTAGTGGTTGGTGATCGAACTAATTCAACAGACGATGAGCCACTCACAAGTCGTTATCACCGTCTATATTTTTAAAACCCAGTTACAAGTCTGCTTGCAGCACCGTGGTATACTGTGACCATCGTTTTTGTAGGTGCTGCTTGCTTTTCTCTCACCGTGGAGGAATAATCTAGACAACTAGTCGGATTACCATTGGTCTTTCATCCGAGTCATTTCTTGATATGAATAATCCAAACAAAGACAGGATCAGAATCTGTATAAAAAGGAAAACAAATTCTGATTTGTTATGAAGTAAAACACTCGGTGACAAACTGTGGCACTGTGAACTGTCACAGTTCTCAAAATTCATTTGCTAATGATGTCTCTGATTCTCGTAATGTGCAGCTGGAGAGAGAGAGGGCGCAAGTTTCCTAGCAACGGAGGCTCCGAGGAACTGCACTTTGCTGGTTCACAAAAGAATATGATATGCACGCGTTATAGTTAAGTCGCTTTACCAACAAAATGAACACTCCCCACCTGTATGGCTATTTTTCAATCCAGGGTACTTCTGCTAGAGGTGGATACGGCTAGAGTGAAAACAAACTTGCTTGGGACTTGTTCCTTTTTTATATGTCGTCGTTTTGCTTTCCTTAGGCTGGATATTTATTAATGTGTCATCGCTGCTAGTGCTGTCATTTTCTGTTGTCATTGACATAGTCGTTGGTGTTGTCATTGCTTTCGCTGTTTGTTTCTAGGCCTATGCCGTGACAGAGTGCCGCTGCTTATGCCTTGTTGTTTCAGGCATATGCAGATCCAGAGGGTGTGGTGTCAAATATCGCCCTGCGATGATTACCATTTTAGAGGCCTTCCTAATTATACGTTTAAAGGTTGGAATACCTCGTGAAAAGCATGAACATGCAGGGGTCTTATTTTGTACGAAAACAAATTATAAAGGCTTCCCAAACCGCGACAACAACATGTCGCTATGTGGTTGTTGTCGTTTGCATGTGGAAAGTAAAGTTGAGACCTTACAGAGACAGCAGTCATCACCGAGGAGGCTTGCGCACTTGGCTCCAAGTGGAGGACTGATGCGCTCATGACGTACAAGAGAATAAACACCACATTCCCAAGGAACAGGAGCACACTCAGCCCCAGGACTTCGCGAGGCTTGTACGCCATCGCGGACTAGCCTGAAAATAGCAAAAGGTTGGAGCTTTAGAGAAAGGACGGCGTGGCTGAGGAGGAAGTTAAGAGACGCAAATGAGGGTCCAAAATGCACTCACACTTACAGAAAAACAGAAACATGGTGAACAAGTTAACTTGGACGCAACGGAATACCGGTATTTACAAGAACTGCACTGGCGTATCGAAGTCTCTCTTTTACGATGATCTCCTCGAATCCGCAGTCAGCTTACTGGAACTTTTACCAGGTACAATAATTTTAATGGGGGCGTGCTAACAGGGATTGGTCATAGGAATCTATCCGCATGCCCAACAGCTGGAAACCGTACTCGGCAAAGGCTGCCTAGACAGTGAAGAAGGTGCAGGCTACCGTGGCTAGCACGGATATAAATTGAGAAGACAAGAAGTTTAGAATGGGCTAGTCTAGGGATCCAAAAAGGTACATAAATTGAGAACAAGTCGGTGTCAGGCTACGCTGACAGGACGGACAAAATGCGCGCGCTTATGCAAATTCCAGAATGACCTTTGACGCGCTTCATTTTGGGCATGCGCTGTTGGAACACCAAACTGGCTCAGCCTTGTCTTTCGCCTGAAATTGGGANAGACAAAAAGTGAGAGTTATACTTCGACAAAATTCGACCTGCGTCGCTGCAAATGATGGATGGATTAATCGGTCTCGTCGACTGTTTTCGAGCCAAGCCTTGGGCACGCAGTCCCGTGCATCGCGGACTCTTAAATCGCTTTATTAGAGAGATTTTTTACCCTGAAAATAATTGTACAGGATGTCGTCCGCCGTGAAGGCAGCAAGAGACCAATTCAGTTGTAAAATTGGAGGAGCGACACGATTAATTTCCTATACCGCCTGACAAGAACCACCCGAGGAGGACTCCATGGGGAAAAAGACCAATCCAAGCACAAACTGCTGCGCAACATCGATCAAGGACCGCTAGTTAAACTAGTGGTTGATTCGTCATGTACCTAGCCCATGTGTAGTGAAGTTGAAGTGCGAACGACCCTAGTCAACCGTTGTCAGGTCGTCAGGCCGAAGGGGAGAAAAAGTAGCCGCAGGAAGGGCAGAATAGCAAACATTACAGTGAAAATGGTCATTTGCACGTGACATTTTCTTTCAACTGGTCCTCTCTGCACTGTGAAAATGGCTTATGGTAACCACGATGACGACGACCTCGGTAAGCTGGTCGCGAATAGTTGACTAGACTAGTCCAACCAGCTTCGACTCACGTGTGTTTGATCAGAGATAGTCAAACTATGGTTAACTATGGTCCTTGATCGAACTTGCTCTAACGTGAGATCGTTGGGGCTCTGCACCTTGAGCAGAAGCACCCCTTCATCGATTGAAAAGAGCCATGTTGGTTTGAAGTGTTCATTTCACTTGTAGCGACGCGACCCTGACTCGTGTATTTCATAATCGGTTGTGGACCAGCGAAGTGCCCTTCAACCCGGCCAAAGGAGCCTTAGTTGCCAGGAAAACTGTGCCCTCTCTTGGTCCAGCTCGGGGCAGATAGGTACAAGCTCTCAATCGTATGATTATACATGTATTTATTTTGCCACTGAGCATAATAGGAAGTCACTACCTACAGGACAGAGTTGTCAATTGGAAAACAAAAGACCAGTAAAGTCAATGTGCTTACAACAATTACCTCAAGTTTACGACATATTACATACCAAACTTTCGGATAGATTGAGACAAAAACAAAAACGCATTGGGTTTAAAGTACCTTAAACTTCCGATCGAACAGCACGCACCTCAACAATGTCTAATTGGACAGTAAGTCAGGTCTCTTAAACTGGAGTAATTACCCAGCCGTCGATTGTGGCAGCAGTCAAACAGTAACTGGAAACCATGTAGCCCATTCCGATCCGATTTGGTTTGATACTGGTGGTTTTTTATTTAGAAAAAGAGTTTTCTTTCTCAACTGGTTGCGGAGTTTTTTTTCCTCCCAGCCGGAAACTACAGGCTCATTTGCGTCGGACTTTCTCTTCCCTTAGTTTTGCAGAAGGAGGTGTGAAGAGAGACTTGTCGGTGTAGAGTTCTTCTTTCCTAGCCTTTCCACCTCTTTCGATATCCGGATTCGATACCCTGGTTCGATACCCTGGTTCGATCCAAATGTGGATTTGGGTTTTCGGTCCCTGCCCGATGTTGTTGGATTCGGCCCACAACCACAACCAAATTAGCAGTTGTACAGCGTGTATTATATGAATAAATATTGGAAGTTGGTGTAAAACAGGAATTAGCAAACAGGTGATGCATGATTCATATATTTGCACCAAAATTTGCCTTAAATGAAAAAATTCCAGTCATGGAGACGTAGTAGTTTCAAATTAGCAAATATGGGTCCTGAGTGTTCAGAAACCCAGTTTTAGAAATTACCCTAAGTGCTCGTTTCGGCAGAGTATTTCTTTTGCATTTAAGAGTCGGACAGAATTTCGAAAATCAAATACGGTAAAATGAAGGAGACATTTAATGTGAGTTATATGC